ATGAGATAGAGGAGAAGTCTTCCATTAATTGAGAGTGGAATACTTACTAAATATGGAATTACTAAAGCAACATTTACTTGGGAAGATGAACATGGAGAAGGAAAACATCCTACAATAGATTTAAAACAATTTGAGTGCTTAAAAAGTATTCATTATGGACCAATGGATGTTCAATGTGAATGGATTTTACCAACAACAATAACTGAACTCAGTGCACTTAAAGAAAATATTACTAACTTAAGTCAATTACAACAATTAAAAGAATTAACATTCTCATCTATTCCACAATGTTCATTAGAACAATTAACATCATTAGAATTATATGAACCACAAGACTTTAATGGAATTGAAAAGTTAAAATGTCAAGAAATTCATATTTTTTATTATAGAGGACAAGAATTAAATCTTGATAAATCCACTGCAAAGAAAATCATTATTAGAGATTGTTTTTCTAATTCATTACATCTTGGAAATCAGGTAGAACGATTAGAAATTAGTAGTAGTGAATTTAAAACTATTGAATGTCCAGAATCATTAAAAGATTTGGTATTAAATAATCTTGATAATTTAGAAGAAATAAAATTCAACAAGTCTTTAAAAACATTCCAATGTATGAGGTGTATGAAACTTACTAAAATAGAATTACCAATAACTGTTGAATCTATCAAAATGATGAGAAGTGAACAAAAACATATTTTGAATTTAGACTATTTTAAAGAACACAATATAATCAATTGATTAATATATTCTTTTTATCATGTTATTCATTTTGACACAAAACGAAGTTCTTTCAATTTTTTAACTTTTAAAAGAAAGTTGTGTGTGGTGCTGACAAAATAGTAACGTCTCTTATTAGTATCAGTTATTAATAAACAGAGGTCTGTAACCTTGACGTTTAAGAATACTCTCAATTTTATTATTCAGCTCAATTTTTTATTTAAATTTTCTTATTTTTTATCTTGTTTTTTTTTGAATTTGTACCCTTTTTGTCATTACAACAATTAATAAAAACTTTTTCATTGAGAGTTTTGGATTAATAAACAATTTTTTTTTTGACACTTTCA